TTATTTTTATATTTATTTTTTAATTATATTCTTACTTCATTTATTACTTTTTTAAAAAAAATTATATATTAGAATTGTAATTCTTATTATCAAGACTCTTATATAAATATATAATAAAAATATAAATGAAGGGATGTGAATGTTTAAAAATTTAAAATTTTAACTAACATGATTCATAAACTTTAAATTAATTAGTCAACTATATATGACTTATTTTGTCATTTTAGTGAGAGTATTAATCATGGCTAACAACTCCACCACCGAAATCTGGTCCCATCAAAGCCCTTGGGACGTATCAGTCAACTGATAGGGGGACTGATAAGAAAGATGGCAAGAAGTGGCCAATGGTGGTCAATGGTAGTGAATGACAACATGGCATGGGGCAATGAAGGCGCAATGGCCAATAATGATTAATACATTAAATTAGTGCGAAACTAATAATAAAATTCTTTAAATTATATAAATAATAATTTAATTTTTTAAAATGTTATAATTTTACTAAAAATTTTAAAAATTTTGTTTTCATTAATAAATTTATATTAATAACCAAATTGCCCTTAATAAAAATAAAATAATCATAAACTTTGTTTAAATAATCATAATTTTTATTTTTATATTTGCAATAATGCAACCAAAAATCACAAATTGAAATGTGAAATTCCTGATATTGTTACAAGTGTTGAAAATAATAAGTAATGATAATAAGTTTTATGGAAAAAACACAACTTTTTTTCTTACATTAGCAATAATGTAATAGCAAATCACAATTTCGTATGGCAAGTCCCTGATATTACTATAAGTGTTGAAAACAACAAGTAATGATCATAAGTTTTGTCTAAATAATTACAACTTTGTTTTTTATATTCACAATAATACAATAGCAAATTACAAATTTGCTGTCAGGTTCCTGATATTGCTACAAGAAATTTATATAAATTCATTAATGATAAAAAAGCTTTTAGGAATTTTAATTAAATTATAACATTTTGAGAGATTAAATTATTATTTATATAATTCAGAAGAATTTTATTGTCATTTTTTCAAATGTATTTTGAAATGAATATAATCAAACATATATTTTTCTCTTATTTTATTTTAAAAACAAACTTTTAAAAATTAATTTATAAAATAATTTTTAAAATTTAAAAACAGTAACAACAAGCCTTAATACTTTTAATGGTTAGTTGGATCCCCCCCCCCCCCCCCCCCCCGATACGTCCAAGAGCTTTGAAACTTTGACCATTACCAATACCTATCTTACTTTTATCACATTTGAGCTAACCTAAAGCACTACGGTTTTGGGTGAATGACAGCATAAACGCAAAAGTTCAAAATAATGACATTTAAATTCCAACAAAATTCTCTGAAAAACACTCCCCTAATTTTATTTATAAGTCAGGGAGAGTATTTATTTTGATCATATTTATAAAACACCTTAATAATTATTATATTTATTTTTACCATTTTACTTCTATTAAATATATGAGAAGCTCATTAAATACTAGATTATTTCATTTTAAAGTAAGTATATTTAATAGAGAGAAAGTTAAAAACTTATTAATTTTTTAGACAAAGTTAATAAAGTTTAAAGTTTTCATTGGTTTGATGAAAATATGAAAGTGACTTATAAATAAGATTTGAGGAAGTAAATTACAAATATCAATTTAGAAAATATAAATATAAATCGAATTACAATTTGAGAGTTATATTTAAAATTTAAATATCTTATTTAAAATTAAACTTTTAAATTTATAATTATTTATATCGATATTTGTGTGTTAGGTTTTTAAAAAAAATTATCTGAACTTAACTATAATTAATCTAGTCTCTTATAATTTGCCCCTCTCTTTCTCTTTCCACCTTTGTGTATGCAAAAGCACCTATACTTTCAAAAGAATATTGCAAAAGGTTTAAACAAGCTAGCCTACTCCAAATGATTATGCATAATTATATAAAGTGATTGTTAATTGATTTATATTTATTAAAAACATTGGTTAAAAATCTTAACTTTCTAAAAATTTTCATATCTTTTCAATCATACCATTAAATGTAATAAATATGATATTTAACTTATTCAAAACAATATCATTAATTACTTAATAAAATAAGGGTGTAATTAAAAAAATATAACTAACATTTGATATTCTATATTTTGGGTTAAGTAAACCTTATAAAAAATGAATTATCTTGTAATGGGATGGCAGCTGGGAGTGTATGTGTATGGTGGATATATAACCCAGCAAACCAGTAGACAGAGAAACTGGTGAAGACTCTGCAAGTTTTGAGTAAGAGAGAAATAGAGAAGGCTATGGATTTGGGTAGTGATGTAGAGAAGAAGATTAAGTTTGACCCTAAAATGGAAACGCCACAAGAATATGCTTTATACTGCAACTGGGTTTCCTTCAAGATCTTCTTCCATAAAGACCCCAAAGCCCTCATCCAGACCTTCGATCTCGCCGGAAATACTGCCATCCACGTCTCCACCCGGTCCGACGACCCCGACCTCATCCGACAACTCCTCGACATGCTTCCTGACGACGGGGATCGCCGGCAAGCGCTGAGGATGGGGAATGCTCACAACAACACGCTTCTTCATCAGGTCATTTTCTGCAACAATCTAAAGATGGTCGAAACCGTGCTCAACTCCGAGATGGACAAGAAGCTAAAGAAGACTAATGATGATGAAGATGATCTATTGGAGCTGCTGAACGACCTCGGTGAAACGCCGCTGTATAGGGCCGCCAAGTGCGGACGGCTGAGGATGTTGAAGCACATGGCCGGATTAGTGGATGATATGAAGAAGCATTTTCACAGGCGACAGCCAAAACTAGACATCACTTCCATTCTTCACATCGCTATAATTGGCCAACATTTTGGTATGTGTGTGTCAGTGTGTGTATGAGCTTTTGTTTATGCTCCCTGTAGGATCTTAGGTAAGACAACATAAAAGTTAGGTCGATTACTAAAAAAATAAAATAAAATGTAATTGATTAAAAAAATAAAAGTAAAAATAAGATGATAAAAAAAAATAGTGAATTACGCTCATAAAAAAAGGGGGCAATTTAGTTCATGGTGTTGAGAATCATGATTCATAAAATTTTTAGAGAGTGATGATTCTCACGTTTATAATTTATATTAATGAGTTTTATCATGCTTACCATAAGGGAAATGATGATTTAGTTCATTTTTATATTATTTTTTTAATATATTTCATTCCATTCCTTTCTACTAACCAAACATGAAGTTATATTTTGGAGAATAGCTTACCATACTCAAATCTGAGGTGTATTTTTTAAAAAAATTCATGAAAAAATAAATTAAAAAATAAATGAGGGCTGAGATTTTTTTAACCCATATGAAAATGAGTTGAACCCCACCTAACACACATTTCTTGAACCCATATAACCTAGATTGGCTCATATTTCTAATTCTCCTCGTCTGTAGTATAATGCTACAGTTATCTCTAACATTCAACCTTTTAATTATATTTTCCCTTTCTTTTAACATCAGATTCTACTAAAACGAGAGATATTCTGATATTTCAAGGTGAAAACTGCATGTTTTTAGGATATTTTCTTTAAAAAATTATAAAAATAAAAAGCTGCACCAGTTGATCATGGTGAAAATATCAGAAGTGTCTAATTTTGTGTAAGATCTAATGATGAGTGAGGGTGCAGATGTGGCAGTTTGGCTGTCGAAAAAGGAAGGGATAGAGAAAGTAGCGTTCGAGAACGATGGGAACAAATTGACGTGTCTTCAATTGCTTTCCAGAATGCCTTCTGTTTTCCAGAGCTATAATTCCCAGTCTGGTTTCATCCACAACCTCATTTATGCTTGTACGTATATATATTCTTTAGATTCTTTTAATTTTGTAGTTATTTTATTAATATGTAATTTGGATGTACAGTTCTTCCAGACAAAGGTTATGATGATGAAGATGAAGATAATGGATTTATGAGAGGGAAGGGAGATTTAGAAACTGGAAAAAACAAGCTCAAGAAACAAATCTCATTACGTTCTGGTACGTACATATACCTCGCTACTCATCAACAACTTCTTCATATTGAATGCTATTATATATTGCAGTTTTCTCAAGGATTTGCTACACTCTCTGGAAAATTATCGCCAAAGGTCAGAATCTTCGCTTCCTCATAAATAATAATATAATGATCATTTATCTTGTTCCTGCTATGTAATTAGTAAATTATTATTTATAAAATCATACCCGAGGTCCTTAAATGTCAAAACAAATTTAAAAAAATACCTTTTTATATAATCTGCCGGTAATACAGTTCACTTATATAAATTTTGAAGCTGAGGTGTAAATTAAATACTAATAAATTTATTTATTATAAGTTTTGGAAGATGAATTTAAAATTATACTAATTAAAAACTCATTCTTCAGATATATGTGATCTCAACTCAAATTATAACCAAGCATGATGTGAAATTTATAATTCAATTTCTAATCACATGATTTTTTTACAATTTACTTACGAGATGATAATCAATTATTATTTAGTATTTACATCTTGTTTCACAAGATTTTAAACGACCAAACAGTATTTGGGCCCCTAAAAAAATCAGCAGCATTGTCAATTGATTAAGGACATTTTCGCCGATCTATATATCAGCATCTTATTTTCTTCCTTGTGGCAAAAAAAACCTATGACTCGTGTCATTACTCATTAATAACTTCCAAACGAGGAGCCTAATTGTCATTTCTCCTCAATTCTTAGTGGGGGAAAAGAAGAAGATCAAGGCCTCAAGTGAATTAAGGTTGAAGGACTTGGTCCTTGTTTGTTAAATAACATACTTTTGAAAATATATTTACAGAATGGGATATTGTGAAAGAAATCTGGGAGAGGAAGAAGAAACACAGGTTGGCAGAGTTACTAGCGGACTTCTTAGTAAGCCAGGACAACTCATGGATGGAAACAAAACATGGAGAACCTCCAACCGAGGTTGTCCTGTCAGTGATTCAACCCTCCAATGTCACCGCCACGAAGAAATTAGCCATGCTCGAAAAGACCCACTCGCTCGAGAAACCCATCCCTTGCAAGGATTACACGCCATTGCTGCTAGCAGCGAGCACAGGTATCGTGGAGATCGTCAAGAGGATCATCGAGCTTCATCCAGACGCCATCTCTCACATTAGCCAACACGACGAGCAGAACGTGCTTCACGTCGCCGTCAAGCATCGTCAGAAATAGATCTATAAGCTGTTCAAGAAATATGGAGCTCTCAGATGGTTGGGTTGTCAGATGGCAAATCAAGGTCAGACTCTATTGCACCAGGTTGCGGGGATGGATTATTATGATGGAGGCAATCAGCTTGGTGTTGTGTTTCAACTTCAGGACGAGCTACGTTGGTTCGAAGTAAGTATATATTGCTAATTATTACTGTTTAGTTGTTGGAAAGAAATATATCAAAATAAAATGGCCGGGTTGATAAAACTTAGAATGAATTAAAATAAAATCATGCATGTATTGAGTGAGAGACTAGAGTCATTCAATGATAGAGAGATGAGAAAATAATGATGAATAGATAGATATCGAGAATGGGAATTGGTCACCTTATTCATATCACATTTGTGGGAAAATGGCTTTCTAAACCATTTCAAAATTTCTTTTGGAACCGGTTTAGATAAGGGCGGTTAAGACAGTTTCTCAAGACCGGTTCTGCAACTGGTTTGGAAAAGATTTTTTTAAACCAGTTTAGAAAGTGCACCATAAAATGTAAAAGAAAAATAAAATGACTTTTACAACTAGTGATGGGGCACAAATTGGTTTAGAAAGTCCCCACTTTCTAAATCGATTAAGGTCCACATTAGTTTAGAATGATAAAAAAATATTTCCACCAAAAATTTTATAAATGTTTCAACACCAATCTCCAGGCTAACCAATCTAAAAAAGAGAAAATAATTAATTAAAAAAATGAAAAAGCTTCTTACAACAGAAAGTACTTTCTAGATAGTTACTCTTACTAGTTATTTACAAATATACTACTCTTCTACTTTCTATACCGTCCACCCAAATATTTTATAAACATGTGTGTGTCCATGTGTGATGATAGAATGTAGCTAGGATGCATTGCACATTTTTGACCCAAAATTATAAGACATTGTCCATGTTGGATTTATAATTTTAATTTTAATTTTTTTACATAATATATTCCCTAGTTTAGATTTGACCATGCTGCTAGACATTTCCTTTCCACTATTATTGAATATTTAAGAATTTTATAGAAACAAAAATTAATGTGTAGTTGCGACAATGACTTCGAGATTCTAAGAATGTAACATAAACCAGAAAGCTAACTTTTGTTTTGCAGTTTTTTAGGCTAACTATCATTGAATATGCATATGCAGCGAGTGAAGAGAATAGTACCTTCTCCTTACCAGTTATATTGCAACGACAATTACTTAACAGTAAGAGAGCTTTTTGATTTAGAGCATTTAGAAATGCTAAAGGAAGCCCAAGAATGGATCAAGGGGACAGCTCAATCCTGCTCCGCCGTGTTAGTCCTTCTCGCCACCATGGTTTTCGCTGCGGCCTACACTGTCCCAGGCGGCACCGACGACAATGGTGTCCCCGTCCTTCTCGACTCTCCACTCTTCCTCTTCTTCACTATCATGGACGTCGTAGGGCTCGCAAGCTCTCTAATCTCAGTGATGATGTTCCTCTCAATCCTTACATCGCCGTTTCAGATGCAAGAGTTCTATAAATCTCTGCCTAGAAAACTCACAATAGGCTTCACGTTATTGTTCATATCGTTGACCACCACGTTGCTGGCTTTCGGGTCAACCATTTTGCTAATGATTAGGATGGAGAACAAGAGATGGAGTTAAAGTTTGATTTGCAGTGCCACGTTCTTCCCTGTGACTCTGTTCGGGTTGACTCAATTTCCAATCATCATGGCCGTCAAGTATAGAATGAAGAGACTAAAGAAGACTATTAAGAAGATGATTCCGAACGATATCATTACCACCATATCCACCAAACCCAAGAAGAAAAGAGTTTATTCAAAATATGTATGAGCATCGATCAAAGGCTCAATTTTGATCTCTAATGCAAGAACATGGTGCTCTAAGGAGAGAGATTGGATGACTGATCAACCTTTGTGTTTTTCTCTGTCTCTACAACATCATACCAACAGTATGGTTCGAAGCATTAATTAGATGTTCAAGTTATTGCATGTTCCTTTAATTTCCATATCCTTGTTTAAGTTGGAGGTGTACTTAAAGTTGCTTTGGGTTTGATTAATTGGTGCAGTTTGTTGCACAAAATCTACTGTATCTATGTATTTTTTTTTTGTATATAACTTGTGCATATATGGTATCATTTCCACGTTGTTTGATGATTATATTTTTCTAATAAAGTGGATTATTTTTGTGTAAATAAATGCCTAAATAATACTCATTCTTGATAATCATATTTCATGTGTTTGTATATTATGTATTGGATACAATTATTTGTTGTGTATTAATACACGAAATCGTTTGTGTATTTGTTTTAATTTCATATTTTATATTGATTGGGAATGAATAAGATGAAAATATTAAGATAGATGTGTGAAAAGATAAATTCCATAATGCTCATATGTGAAAAAAAGTGAACATGGTATCTATTGAGAAGAAAATAATAATCCAAAATCATTTAACATGATTTGGATATTACAAAAAAAGTTGTGAGAAGTTCTTATAAAAAAAGTGAAATAGATAGTTTTGAGTCTGAAAAGAGGGGGTAGAGAAGACAAAAAAAAAAGACGTTTATAAAAATTGTTGAACAATATCTCTTGATTAACAATATTATTTCTAAAGATTTAGTTGCTAATAGAGTATATGTATAAATATCTTGTGCAATTCATGTAATTGACTTCACCTAATAAAATAAGGCTTGTTTTTATTGTATCATTGATTGGGATTAAATGGCGACAAGGGCACGCTGTTACCCTAAGAATAATAGAAACACATCCGGCCATCCTTCCAAATTATCAGAAGATATAATTGGCTTTCTTTAGTGTCTTAATTTAACACAACTTTCATTAAAAAATGAAAAACATTTTTAATCAAATTATACTTGTAATAAATTCAAGTTTTAAAATTTTGATAGTTAAGATGTAGTGTTTTTCTATTATTTTTATCCATTTAATTGAAGTTACTGATATTGTAAATAGTTTCTCCCAACCAATTTTATTGCCATATACATCAAGTTGGATGTACCACGTTCTGAAGGCAACGATGCTAATTAGTTGGATTTTCTTTTTTGCGAGACTAGGGGTGCCCAGCGAATCACTTGACATTTGCATGAATTAATCATAGGAAAAATGGAAAAACAAAAAATATCCCTCAAATATATAAATGACAATTAAATATTATGCAATATGATAATTATTATTTAATTCTTGAAAACTTGTCTGACACTTTGATTTTTAATAAAATGACATATTTTTCTCTAGTAATTATTATGCGTTAGGTGAGAGTTTGTTTTCTCTCCTCGGTGAGAGTAAGGTGAGTTCGTCTTCTCCTTTGTGTGTTGACGATGACACCCACTGTGTCATTGAGAAATTGTTGAGTGTGAAATTTCTCTCCCTCTTGCGAGTGTGTGAGAGCGGCCGGGTGTGTGAGTGTGAGGTCTTCTGTGTGCGTGTATTGCTTGGCTTTTTTTTTTTTTTTTTCCCCGGAAGCATGGAGGAAGGACAGAGTAACAGGAGGAAGAAAAATAGTAGAGTAATAGTTTTAGAGTTGGAGAAAAAGAAAAAAGAATGGCCTAGAGGATCTCTGGTTGGCAGACTGGAGACCGATAAGAACCTGAATAAAAAGTTGGTTATTTCAATGATTAAGAAAGGGTGGGGCGTTGATGAGGAGGTTGAAGTCCATGATCTACATATTAAGAATGCATTCATTTTTTCAGTTTGAGAAGGAGGTGGATTATAGTACAGTTGTTAGAGGCAGACCTTGGTATATTCAATATGGTTTTTAATGAGGTGGATTTCTCCAAATGCCCATACTGAGTGCAATTTCATGGATTGCCACAAGGAGCTTTTGATCACGGTAATGCTATGCGTCTTGGTGAGGCCGTCGGAGAGGTGATGTTGTTTGAGAATCCCATGGTGCAGGGAAGAATGAAGAGATCTTTTATTAGAATTAGAGTCTTGATTGATATTGCAAAACCCTTGATCATTGTTTCTGGGTACCTCAGCCTAATAGGAAGCCAGTCTGGGTGAATGTTCGATATGAACGCTTGCACAATATGTGTTATCAATGTGGCCAAATTAGACACGATGCAAAGAGCTGTCATGATCGAGGAAGTGATATGGATGAGGATGATAATGAGGAGTAATGGGGTAGTTGGCTTGGTGTTACCCACGTTAGGACTTTAGAAAAAGTCGTGGAAGTTTGCAAGGTGGATTAGGTCGAAGCAAAGGCCTTTCGTGACTCACGATCTCGGAACACCAGAGAACGATGGAATGGTGACTAGAAAAATTCTTGCTCTGACCTTGGCAACAGCAAAGACAGAGGTGATAATGGGGGATTTGTCATGTTTTTTAGATGTGAGAGGACTTATGGACAATGTGGTTATAGACGAAATAATGACAGGATTGAGGAGAATATTGTGGGTGATTCTGGTATTGCCAATAATTATGAGAATCCCGTCAAGATACCCTCTTCTCCTTTGGATGCTAAAAACGTAAAATTTGTAGACAATATCACTGCTGGGCCTAGCACTCTAAAGACCCAATCTTTGACAATTGTTGGTGATAAGAATAGTTGACCATTTGAAGTGGGCTCTAAAATTTATATGGAGTACACTGTGGAGTTTCCCAGTGAAGAGGAAGACAATAGAAAAGCTCTAATTCCTATTATGAGCCTATCCCTTATGTCAAAAGTAATTTTTGGACTTAATAAAATAGTGTTGAAGTGCCCTTTACCTGAAGAAGACAATCCCAAAAATACGAAATGGAGAAAATTATTCCGTGAGACAGAAAATGCAAGCATGACAGATGAAGCTCAGGCTACCTTAGTTTCTCCTCTGATTCGAAAAAATCGTAGGATTATTAAAAAGGAAATTAGAAGTCACAACGGTGAGGATGCTACTCCTCGGCCAAGAGATGTTGTTAATGAAGTTTTCTCAATTGCTGAAGATGTATGTTTCCTGCCTGGATGGTTTGTCTTTAGGAGCTCGAAAAAATATGAGGTTGATGGTGAAGCTTTTAATGCCGATAGTAGGGATGATCCCGCCATTGGTTCATCATGAAAATCTTATCTTGGAACTATCAGGGGTTAGAGGTTCCCCTGGCGGTAAAAAATCTCAAGGATGAATGTAGGAAAAATAACCCCCAAATTATCTTTCTGATAGAGACAAAATTAAAAAAAGAGATATGTTAGTAAGATTAGGAGAAGGTGTGGGTATAATGAAGAATGGGTTGTTAAGCCAAAGGGTAGAAGTAGTAGACTTGCTTTGTGGTGGAGGCATGATCTTGTTATTAATATTCTGTCTTTATCTTTGAACATAATTCATACAAGTATCTCTTCTATCTAATTTGATACCCCCTAGAATGTTTCCTTTATTTATGGTCCCCTGATGAAAAAGAAAGGTGGCAGATATGGGATCTCTTGGTTCGTATGGCTGCTGCGGTTCAGGGGCCTTGGTTCTGTCTAGGCAATTTTAATGATATTATCTCGCACAAAGAAAAAGAAGGAGGAAGGCCTAGAGCGGTCAGGAAAATGCTTAACTTCCAAAAGTATATAACTAATTACTGTTTGATGGGTCTGGAGTATAATGGTTCATGGTTTACTTGGTGTAATGGTAGGCAAGATGATGCCATTGTCAAGGAGAGAATTGATCGTGCATTTAGGAATGTGACCCTGTGTGAAGCCTTTCCTAAGACGCAAGTGTTTAATATTGACCCTATGGGGTTGGATCATCACCTCCTCTTGTTGGATCTATGCTACAGTAGGGGTAAATATGCTAAATCCTTTACATTTAAAGCTTTATGAACTCTTTACCCTGATTTCTTACAGATGGTGCAAAGGAGTTGGGCATACTCATGAGAGCAGGTTGAAAATAATTCTTTAGATATATTTGTTGCTAATCTGAACCACTGTAGGTGACATCTTGTCAAATGGAGTGAACAGACTTTTCTTAATAGTAAGAAACGTATTTTTCAACTTAAAATGCAATTGGCTGCTTGTAAACAAGGAGTTCTTACTGTAGATTCTGTTAAATTGGCCGATGAAATCACCACATAAATTGAGCAGATGATGGATAGGGAAGAATCTTACTGGTGGTAATGGTCTAGGGTCTCGTGGTTACAGGCAGGAGATAAAGACACCACTTTCTTCCATTTATCTACTATTATGAGGCGTCAGAGGAACTAAATTCTAAGAATTCGGGATGACAGTGGCCATTGGCTAAGTACAAACTTGGAGGTTGCCAATTCGTTCTTTGCTTTCTACAATCAGCTGCTTACTGCATCTCCCCTAAGGTAATTTGATGAAGCACTAAGTTTTCTGGATTGGTGTATCAATGATTCTATTAATAAACAACTTATGGTTCTAGTTATAAAGGCTGACGTGCATAATGCGTCTTTAGCTTGAGGGCCACTAAAGCACCGGGTCTTGACGGTTTCTCAAGTAAATTTTATCAATCTACATGGAATGAAGTGGGCAATAGTATTTTCTTGCTTGTGAAGAATTTTTTTGATGGCAACATTAATGTCACTGACATCAATGATACAAATATTACACTCATTCCCAAGACTGATAAACCTGATTACGTCTATCATTTTAGACCTATCAGACTTTGCAACTTTTCCTATAAAGTTATATCCAAAATTCTTGCCAAT